ACCACACAGTAACTGTACACAAAGGAAGGTGAAAATACCAAAAATTTCCACATCAACAACAGACACGTGGACTTGTTGGTCATCGTCTTAAAGCTTCTTCATTTGTCTGGTTTTGGATGATGAAATAAAATACCATCTATCTTGACTAGAAGTCAAACCATGTGACTGAGGGAGGTGGGGGTGGCCTGGTGTCAGACTGACAATTTGCGAGAAAGAGGCTGCCAAAGCTTGAGTGTCCGTGTATACTGAAAATTTACTCTTTTTTGAGCCTATAACGAATATTTTGGAGAAAAATCTAAGCAGAAATGTCTTTATAAAAGGACAAAGAAGGTGTGAATGTTTTTGATACATTTGTTCCCAGCTTCGTTCAATAAGGAGGGGGAAAGAAGTGAGTGGGCTTCTGTCGTTCAGAAGTGTGTGGTAGGTGCACGTCTTACTTGAAGCTTTGAGCTTGTGCGCAGCCGGCCGCCAAATCAAACATGCGCACGTGCGTGTCCCACGATCCCGTGATGAGCGTGTCTCCCACCGAGGCCATGCTCCAGATCCAGCCCTGAGAGACCAGCGAGACGGGAGAGAGAGTGTTTAAGTAAGGGTTTTACGGCATTTACAACACAATAATAAGGTCATATAAGTGCCGAAGAATAGATGGTACAAGAGAATAACAAACACAAAAAAGAAGGAGGAGAGATAAATGTGATTGCGATAGATGTTTGATAGGAAAGAAGGAGCAAACCACACCAGAGCACCAGCCAACCTCCCACTGAGAGAGTGTTTCGGGTGTGTCGTGTGGGAGGACAGACAGACGGGTGGACGGATGGACGGATGGACGGACGGACGGACGGACGGACAGACAGACAGACAGACAGACAGACAGACAGACAGACAGACAGACAGACAGACAGACAGACAGACAGACAGACAGACAAGAAACAAGAGAAGCCTGAGGCTACCCCCAAAGACTTCCTGATGGAAACAGCACACAAAGCCAGACAATGTAGTACAAGTTTTACAGCACACAAAGCCAGACAATGTAGTACAAGTTTTACAGCACACAAAGCCCGACAATGTAGTACAAATTTTACAACACACAAAGCCAGACAATGTAGTACAAGTTTTACAACACACAAAGCCAGACAATGTAGTACAAGTTTTACAGCACACAAAGCCAGACAATGTAGTACAAGTTTTACAACACACAAAGCCAGACAATGTAGTACAAGTTTTACAGCACACAAAGCCAGACAATGTAATACAAGTTTTACAGCACACAAAGCCAGACAATGTAATTGTAGTACAAGTTTTACAGCACTTGCACCACAAACAGGTCATATAGGTGCTGGTAGAAAAGACGAAGCAAATCCCAGCAGAGCACCCGCCAACCACCCACCAATCCCAGTTTGGTAGCGATCTTCCTTTCTACAAATACCTTGGCCCTCATATGACCTTACGCAGTTGTGAGCGCCCTAAAACCTTACTAAAACTTTTCTACAAATACCTTGATGAACCAAAATAAGACTCCACTAGCTACCAAAACAAAACGTAATGACTAATCACCACAACATGAAACATCCACAAAGTTCAATAACCCCAAGGCTAGAAACAAATTTTTTTTTAAAAAACACAAAAAAACCCAAGTACATCTCAAAAACAAAAAATTATCTGCAGAAATTCTTCCCTCCGCCCCTTATTGCACATTCTGTGTGTCGTGAGTCACCTATTGCACATTCTGTGTGTCGTGAGTCACCTATTGCACATTCTGTGTGTCGTGAGTCACCTATTGCACATTCTGTGTGTCGTGAGTCACCTATTGCACATTGTGTGTCGTGAGTCACCTATTGCACATTGTGTGAGTCGTGAGTCACCTATTGCACATTCTGTGTGTTGTGGGTCACTTATTGCACATTCTGTGTGTTGTGAGTCACTTATTTATTACACATTCTGTGTGTCGTGAGTCACTTATAGCACATTCTGTGTGTTGTGAGTCACTTATTTATTACACATTCTGTGTGTCGTGAGTCACTTATAGCACATTCTGTGTGTTGTGAGTCACTTATTTATTACACATTCTGTGTGTCGTGAGTCACTTATTGCACATTCTGTGTGTTGTGAGGGGAGTCACTTATTGCACATTCTGTGTGTTGTGAGTCACTTATTACACATTCTGTGTGTTGTGAGTCACTTATTGCACATTCTGTGTGTTGTGAGTCACTTATTGCACATTCTGTGTGTTGTGAGTCACTTATTGCACATTCTGTGTGTTGTGAGTCACCTATTGCACATTCTGTGTGTTGTGGGGGAGGCCACGCGGACTTTGTGATCAGAGCTGAACATGGACACAGTTACTTTTGTAAACAAAAAGACAATTAATCTGTCCCCGAGGTTTTATGCACCCACATCATTTAGCAAAATTTCACCATTTTTTTTTGCATGTATAATGTCTGATTATTTTCCTCGATCATTCTTTGTTAGAATTAACAGAATCGCATATTTTCACATTTTTGGGCTCAGTTTGCATAATTTCAGAATTCTTTTTTCATAAAACCGCAGGGACAGATTAATGGATAACTTCTATGGAGTTAAAGAGAACACAAGTGCTTTCAGTTATAACTGTTCTTCTCAAGAAAATACAGGGAAACAATGGAGGATGACAAAACGGCTTGGCTTACCCCGTGGCTGATGTCGGAGTGAACCAACATGTCTGCCATCTGTTTGTCTGGCTGTACGCCTGGCGAGTCGTCCCACTTGGCAAGATCCACAATGTTCAGGAAGCGGTTGCGATCGCCAGACGCCAAAAGCCGACCCTCCTGAGAAAGTAAAGAATGGGAGGCGCGATGACAAAATGAGCAACTTCTCCTGATAATAAAAATAATTATGTCGATAATTTCTATAGGGCCCACTCCCGTGTGAACACAGCTCTGGGCGCTTTACATAAATGCAGCATGTACGAACAATCTTCATGCACACACACACACTCACATTACCCACACATACGTGCACACACTTGCACGCCAAACACACGCACACACACACACACATCTACTTGTTTATCACACGTGCACACTTACACATCGCTACGAAGTGAGCACATACAAATACAGAATAAAATAATATACACAATGCATTTCACAAAACACGCAAGTCCCCCTATGTTGTTCCGGCACAGTATGAGCATGACATTGATAAATCAGCCCATTTACAATTGTACTGAGCATAAGAACGAGAAATGTCCCCTCTTTGGGAATTGCCTCCAGACACTTCAGTCAGTTTGTCACTATCACTGAAAACGACCAAGACAAATGTCTCCTTTCAACATGAATAACGACGGTCACTGTCAATGTTCGGGAGCCCCCCATTGACCCAATGTCCATCCTTGAGGAGTCAGGCTGCTCCCGCCCAGCATGTCATGGCCGACCCCCGACTGACCTTTAAGAGATGTACCACCGACCCCCGACTGACCTTCATGAGATGCACGGCGTCCACCTCTCCATTGACGTTATGGCCGTACAGGAAGTGACGCGTGTTCCTGGACCAGTCTCGCCACGTGTGGTAACTGTCTTCCCTCGCCACACACGCGTCCACCCAGCTGAAGTCTGAGGCTGGGACGCAGAGGACAGAGTGACATAATGAACTACTGTAACAACTGGTGTAGAGGACAGAGTGACATAATGAACTACTGTAACAACTGGTGTAGAGGACAGAGTGACATAATGAACTACTGTAACAACTGGTGTAGAGGACAGAGTGACATAATGAACTACTGTAACAACTGGTGTAGAGGACAGAGTGACATAATGAACTACTGTAACAACTGGTGTATGACGCTAGAACGTAGAGTATAGTGAACATCAATAACAGTTTCAATAATTGTCAGAGTCAATCTTTATGAGAAATACAGGGCCAAACAAAAAGAACATAACTGATCATTCTCATGATCAAATCTCTCATGATCAAATCAACAACTTTTAAGCCAGTTCTATTTACGATGCACCAAAGCGACAAAAAGAAAATGGTAAATGCCTGTAAATTCTTTTGCCATATCGACAGACCAAAGCTGAAGGGCTCGAACTTTGATCGGTTCTGGATCAAAGAAATGAAATTGTGTCATGACATGGCGGAATCAAGCGCGTGTCAATTTTTGGAAAGAGTTAATGTCTTAAAGCCTGCTCATTTTGTCTTGTTTGCCTGTTCAATTGTCTTGTTTGCCCGTTCATTTGTCTTGTTTGCCTGTTCATTTGTCTTGTTTGCCTGCTCATTTTGTCTTGTTTGCCTGTTCATTTGTCTTGTTTGCCCGTTCAATTGTCTTGTTTGCCTGTTCAATTGTCTTGCTTTTGATGAAAAAAAAGTAGCCATCTATCTTAAACAGAGTTTGAGATATTTGCGATTGAAGGAGGTGGGAGTTGCCTGGAGGTAGAGGTACGGTAAAATTAGAAACAAAATGGGTCCAAAATTTTGGGGACTTTCAAAGCTTGAATATCCTTAGAAACTTTTCAAATTTACATTTTTATGCCCTTGTTAAACCTTTTTCAGTAAAAGCCACAAAGAAATTTGTTTTTAAATGAACATAAAAGGTGGGGGGTTTTTTAAGCCTCCCCCAAAAAATCAATAAAAACTGCCCACCTGTCAGATAGATGTTGGACTGTTCAATTTTATTTTGACCAGCCCCTAATTTCACCGCAGTGACACACAAGTTACAACTTTTCAGAAGCAATTCCACGAGGAACAAGACAACAACAACGGGCGGGTGAAATCTTCCTCTCTTTACCAGACACAACAGCAGGGTAAGGCTTGTGGCAGCGAAGAAACACCCTCGACTTCCAATATGCCTCGTTGTCGAACATCTCCAGGAAGCGAAGGCACACCTTGCTGAGGGAGTCGCGGACGACCCTGGCCTCGAGGAACACGGCGATGTGGAAGATGACGTCGTCATGGAGCTGGTCCAACCTCAGACCGCCTGGGGGTGTAGAGAGAGACACAGTTGGAATTGTCTAAGTCTAAGACAGTCTGTTGACACAGAGAAAGACACAGTCTAAGACAGTCTGTGGACATAGAGAAAGACACACTCGGAACTGTATAAGTCTAAGACAGTCTGTGGACATAGAGAAAGACACAGTCTAAGACAGTCTGTGGACATAGAGAAAGACACACTCGGAATGTATAAGTCTAAGACAGTCTGTGGACATACAGAAAGACACAGTCTAAGACAGTCTGTGGACATAGAGAAAGACAAAGTCTAAGACAGTCTGTGGACATAGAGAAAGACACAGTCTAAGACAGTCTGTGGACATAGAGAAAGACACAGTCTAAGACAGTCTGTGGACATAGAGAAAGACACAGTCTAAGACAGTCTGTGGACACAGAGAAAGACACAGTCGGAATTGTCCAAGTCTACGACAGTCTGTGGACATAGAGACACAGTCTAAGACAGTCTGTGGACACAGAGAAAGACACAGTCGGAATTGTCCAAGTCTAAGACAGTCTGTGGACATAGAGACACAGTCCGATTTGTCTAACTGTAGGAACACTTGAAGATAATATATACATCATGATGTAATTATCTTTATTAATTAGGCTTAACTTATCAAAGAAATTAAAGGAAAAAAAATACAGTCTCCATCCATATGAGAAGAAGCTAGAACTATCTCACCGAGTGAACGGTCCAGCATCAAAGGTCAAATGACAGGTGAGATACACTAGACCTGCAAACCACTCAATAGCCAAAAATTGCCAGTTCTCAGAATCCTCCCTAAAGATCAGAGTCTGGGGGAACAAACATCGGAGCCTCCAGAACATTAACCCTACCCGTACGTCGTGTTTTACTATCGTATCCATATGATGTGGGGAACTCTGTGCCTCCACTTAACCCTATCTGTACGTCGTGTTTTACTATCGTATCCATACAACGTGGGGAACTCTGTGCCACCACTTTCCAAAGAGGAAATTTACTCGTTAATCCGATCCGCACGCTTAGCATAGCAGTCTGTCAAAATTATTTTTTTGAGAAATACAGAAAGTTTCAAAGAGATCTTTGTACTAGAAGTATTCTAAAATGTGAAAAATACAACCTCGGGGTACAAAATGACCCCAGGGTGTACGGATATGGTTAAGATGAAGATTATGTAACAAACCGACAGTGGCAAAATAACTTTATATATTGCAAAGATACGTACAAGAATTTATAAGTTGCACACAACTGAAGGAAACAAAATTTAAGATAAAATTACATACTGACGCAAATCCAATCTGAGGATTTTTCAATGGACAAAAATAAAATCGGCAAGTTTCACATGTTATCCGAGCACCTGACAGCCGTGGACACACCCACCTTCATACGGAGGGCTCCAGGCTGAGGATTGGCCCCAGGTCTCCTCTGGTTTCTCATCAGGCACGTCGCATGACCCTCTCACGCAACCCACCATCTCCTCCTCGCATCCCACCATCTTCAGGACAGCAGGGTCTTCACCACACTCGCACTGACCTTGACCCTGACCCTCGACATTCATCTCCTGAGCCGGAGATTCCGACCGCGAGCCACCTAGCTTCTCGTCGTGGTCAGCTTTCCCTGAGGGATTGGACTCTACCATGTGCACGTCTCCATCTCGATGCTCGGAATCCTTCCCTTCAGCCACCGGCAGGCATTCTTTGTGATCAGAACAAATGTTTTCGAAGCTCTCCACAGGAGCAGACGCCATATCCTGGCTCCCAGCACACGCTCCAAAGTCAAAACAATCGGCGCTCGCGTCTTCCCCTACATCACCATCTGCCAGTCTAGCGGGGAAACCGTGCTCATCGGCGAGACAAGCAGACTCTGTCTCTGTGACACCTGACACATCGGAGCACGCTGACGGTGACGCTGGGCTTTGTTTGTTGGAGGTCGGCTGTTGGGACACTTCCTCTCCGTCTGCCTCGGGGGTTCGGCTCAAACTGGGGGCAGAAGCAGCCACGTCTGCCGCGTTGTCGCTGTCCCCTGCATCAGAGCACACACCTGGACACGGCTCTGAAAAAACCCCCACAATAAAATATAAAACCCTCTTTACTTTTATGGAAGATAAAATGGTAGGAGTGCATATAATGCTGATTATGTATCAAGCTTTTAACACAGTATAAAATTATTGCTTACAATAATTGTTTATTTATATATATAATGGTTAATATTATATTGTATAATTCAAGTGTGAGTGTGATTGTACTGTGGGTATGTTTGTGAGTACAAGCAAAAAACTATTACCTGTTTGTATAAAATGTATGGAAGACAGGACACGTGAAAGAGAATCATGAATGGGTGTATGTGTGTACAAACGGGCATTCATGTATGTGAGTATGTGTGTGTGTGCGAGTATGTGTGTGTGTGTGTGCGTGCGAATACGTGTGTGTGCGTGTGTGCGTGCGAGTATGTGTGTGTGTGTGTGTGCGAGTATGTGTGTGTGCGTGTGTGTGTGTGTGTGTGTGTGAGTATGTGTGTGTGTGTGTGTGCGAGTATGTGTGTGTGTGTGTGCGAGTATGTGTGTGTGTGTGTGCGAGTATGTGTGTGTGTGTGTGCGAGTATGTGCGAGTATGTGTGTGTGCGTGTGTGTGCGTGTGTGTGTGTGCGTGTGTGTGCACATAATCAACAAAACCAAGCTAGCTTCTGAGCAATACAGAAATACAGTACAGATTTATCTTTCTTTTCAAGTTGAGAGTGTTTATACAGATCTGGTAACCGGGAATAAAGTCATGAAGTATACAGACCCGGTAGGGGAAATCTTTTGTGGTTTCGGAAAGTTTCAGCACCCTCTTGGCTCAGGAGAGAACTTAGGATCTTCTAGATCTATGGGCTAGGCCTAGGTGTAGACAGACATAAATCATAGATCTAGTTTCGAGACTAGATCTAGATCTAAATGAAGAATGCGGATCGGGTCTTTTCGATGAACGATAGTTTTTTCCTTGGTCATGGAGTAGGGGGAATCATTAAGACAATTTGAAGAAAAGAATAATGTCATAATTTCAATCGAGCAGTCACTTTCTCTATTTTTCTGTCTCTCTCCCCTCTTTTTCTACCTGCCCCCCCCCCCCCCCTCTCTCTCTCCTCTATGTATCGCTCACCTTCTCTTTGTTTGTCTCTGTCTTTCTTTCTCCCCCCACCTGCTTTCCAACTCTTTCTTTCTCTTGTTCCCTCCTGTCAACAGGGGCATGTGATATTTGTTAGCACTTCTCCCTGTTCTCTACCCTCTCTCTCTCTCTCACACACACACACACACTACCGGGTCTGGGGGCTGAAACTTTCCGAAACCACAAAAGATTTCCCCTACCAGGTCTGTATACTTCGTGACTTTGTTCCCGGTTACCGGGTCTGTATACACTTCGTTTCAAGTTATCTTACACTTTACAAGGTCGTATCTTTAAATTGTTTATATTATTTATTATGAAGTGATTATTCGGACTCGAGTCCGAATATGAAAAAATGTTATTCGGACTCTGATTCTTGTCCAGCATGACATTACTTCTGACTTCCGACTTCCTGTGACTCGTGACTCCGGCTTCCTGTCCTGCCTCACTCGTGACTCGCCTCAGGCTGGGTAGAGACCGGGATCACTTCGGGCAAAAAGGCATTTTGTGCAGGAGCCGAGTTTTAATCTTATGATGAATTTGAGGCCGGCTTGAAAAGTTATAGCGCTTCTAATAAATGTTTATTTGTCAAGAGGTCATCAGAAGCAATTAAAGATGGCTCGTTAGCGTGTGTCGGGGTCGGATGGGCGGCCTGCACACGTGTGGCTGTGTGCGTGTCAGGGAGGGGGGGGGGGCACTATCGGTCCGGGCGTTGAACGTCGCATATGCGTCAGTCTTTTTCCCCCTGGCAACTGATCATTATTACAATAATAAGCTAATCTTGACGTAGATCTACGTAATGAATTGTGCGCTGGTCTATGGAATCAAAAGTTGCCGTATGCTCAGCTGGCTCTACACAGCAACACAACTTTTTCTTGGTAAACAATCGAGATGACACAGGCTTGTGTATTTGAACGAATTGGTCTTTATTTTTTACACAGCTCATAATATGCAGGTGCCAGGTGGTCTGCTAATCTTCAATTTTACCTTTTTCTACAACAAAGAAAGTGGGAAACATGGGGGTGGGGTGGGGGGTGGGGGGCGTATCAATGAGGCGGCGGGCATCGGATTGGCAGAAAAGGTGTGGGGGAAACTAAAAAATGGCGGAAAATTGGAAGCACTGAACGTCAGATCTATAGAACGAAGACACTTCCTTTTTTCCGGACCCGAGTCCGAATAACATTTTTTCATATTCGGACTCGAGTCCGAATAAGACATTTTTTTTATTCGGACTCCATTTGCAACACGAGACCGAAAGTCTCCCTCTTCAGCCCTAATGATGTCGAGGACAATGGTGAAAGGTTTGACTGAGGAAGACGTCCAGGGCAGGGTCTGGCCCCAGAGATAGTCCTCTTGGGGCTTGGGGGTAACAATCATTCAAGAGCCCTGGAATAAATACACAGAACTGAAGGAGGACTTAACGATGCCTGCTACTGCTTCTATCACAGTCAGGCAGTGATGAAGGAATCGTTTCAAGCTGCATTTGATCCCGGTGATCTTAGACACCTGACAGGCAATTTTAGTTTGCCTAAGGATCTCTGTCTCTAATGAAATGTAAACAACATTATAGGCTGCTGGCATAGAGGCAGAGATATGGGTCATTCCACCAGTACTGTTTACTAAAAGTAACATTCAAGTTCAAAATTCAAAGTCAAATTTTAATACTTTTCTATAGCAGGTCATAAAGAGAAATGTCTCATTGGTCACTCCTGAAAATTGTAGACCTCTTTGATAATTAGGTTTGACACAGTTACGCCCGAAATTTTGCTTTTCAAGTTGGTGAGGATTGTTACAAACACAAACATTGACAACAATAACAAAATATTCAGACAAAATCAAATTGATTTGTTCTTGTGCTCATGTTTTATTTACCAGAAGACACAAAACCACTTGAAAGATTTTGACTTAAAGACAACACTGTTTAAGAAAATTGCATAAAATGGTGAGGAACGTTACAGGAAAAATGCCAGAAAAATTGACTGTCGCCATTATCAGTTTCTTCATCAAAGTACACATAGATGAAAGATAGTGTCATCACTTTATAAAAATATAAACATTGAGAAATCATAAGAAAGACAAAAACATATTCAAAATGGCAAATCATGAGGAAGGCAACACATTTTGGTGAAATGGTGAGGAACGTTACTGGACAAAATACGGCATACAATATTTCACTAGAACTTCTTTGTATCAAACTTAAAAGCATTATTTCTTTACAAGAAAGTTATTTGTTAAGCAAATGCAGTAAATGGACACAGTATTTTTGAAAAGAATAAACAAGAACGGAGGAAAAAGAGATATATTGAAAATCGAAAGTGAGGATTGTTACAATCAGGTCCTACAATAAACATACTGGTCTCCGCTGCCTTTTGAGTTTGACTGACAGGAGTTGTTAGTTTTACTGAGTGTAGAGTGGATGTGACAAATCAACAGACTAATGATGTCCAATGATACTACGGTAAAAAGAAATAAAGTGTTGCAAATAGAGAGCTGAATGGTTACAGTTTCAATGTCGGAAATTGAATACCTGTGGCATTCTTACTTGCTCTTAGACGTGAAGCTAGCAATAAGTGAATGAAATGAAATTTAAAACGCCCTGCATAGTGAAAATATCAGGAGACACATAGAACAAATGCCTGGTATCTCAATAGGGGGACATTTCGTAAACAATCTAAGAAATGCAGACGACACAGTCCTAATAGCAGAAGATGAAAAACACCTACAGGATCTATTAAATGTCATTGCACAAGAGAGTGACAACATGGGCCTACGACTAAACATCAAGAAGACTGAAACAATGGTGATAAGTAGAAAAACTCCAACCCCAACCTGCAATATCAAAATCAATGGTACCACCCTCAAGCAAGTACAACATTTTGAATATTTAGGGACCATGATATCATCATCACACCGAAATTAAAAGCAGCCTTTGCCTAGCAAAAGCAACCTTCCAAAAAATGAAACAGAAACTTACGAACATCAATCTGTCACTGGAAACAGGAAAACGAGTACTGAAAAGTTACATCAAGCCAATCCTATTACTACTTTATGGGTTCGAAGCATGGACAATCAATAGACAGCTGAGAAGAACAATTGAGGCAAGGCATCGGATGATGATGATGAGCAATTTTGGTGCACGGCGTATGGTAAAGATTAACTCTGTGTGAGTGCTCATTCAAATTTGTAGGGGCCAGGAGAAACTAAAGCAGGAGGTTCAAGGGTGCGGCAAACATCATAAATTGGTATGACTGAGGTGTCATCGGGCTGCGGCCAGATGTTCAGGCCAGATCCTACTGGCTTCATCTTACTTGCACCTCCCCAGGAAAGGTCTTCTCCACCTGCACAAAAAAAGAAAGGGCATAACATGTTCATGTCAAAAGTGTAGGCCTATATTTGAAAGCAGTGGGTAAATAAATCTCAATGTCATGAGGTTAATGGGAAGAAAAACCTACATAATCCCAACTTCTAAATGCTTAGACTTTCATTTTCATCAATCCGCCAGGGCAGTGCTACTGACAGAAGTGTCTTTAAGCCATTCCCAAAGGGGGATATTAACATGTTCTTATGCACCGTAGCATTGTAAATGGGCTGATTTATGTTTCAATGTCATGCTCATACTGTGCCGAAACAAATAGGGGGAACTGCTGCTGTTTCTTTCCTCATCATTACTAGATATATCGTCATTTCTCCTCTACTTCTTTTGTATGTTTGTTACTCTCTTGTGAACTGCTATTTCTAGGGTGCTTTGCTAGTCGAAGCAGACTTTGTGCTGTTGAGGCTAGAGGTGAGCAGAGTAAGCCTGATTCCCCATTTGGACTTCTCTGTTGACATTCACCCCTTGGCGCTCATATGACCTTGCGCAGTTGCGAGCGCCGTAAAAACCTTACTAAAACTAAAGAGACTTTCATGTCACCCCAGCCTGCCTGAGCCTTAGGTGCCATGGGCTTGTTGATGAAGGCTATTGTCCAGATGTCATAGTTTGGTATGAGAATTGTATGTCTACAATTTAATTTTGTTCAGGCAGGCATCGAATAGAAGGGATCCAGGTTATTTCTATGGCAAATACAACAATTGTTTAATTAGAAATCCCAGACTTACAATGCCTCTAAATTGGCGATGGGCCCCACCGGTGGCGTACTGTCCCTCTTGGATACCTGTATCCTCTTTTTTGTCAGCTAGATCTTCTTCTCCCTAGGTAAAATGTAAAACAAGGTAACAACAATGAGCCTGCTGACACAAATGTCGAAAAGGAGTTAGAACTAGACAGTTTAGTGTATTTAAACAACAGCACAGATAATATATCAACTATAATTGTCCCTGTAACAATCCTCAGGCTATCTCTTTTACACAGGATTTCTACACAGCTAAAAGTTAACTCTCCACTGTTCCTTTTGATAATTAACATAATTTTCTCTCTTACTCTTATCATGTGTATCTTTTCCAGCCAATGAATGATGCAACTTTGGCATTAACAGATTTTTAAAAATTTGGAACGCTAAAGAGACAGACAAAGAAATGTGTCCAGTGAAACAATCCTCACTCTTTTTGGTGATCCTCAAAAATAGCACAAAAGTAAAATTTGCTAATTGTGACAAAAATAGGTGATTATGTTAATATTCATCAATAATCAATAAAGACCAAAATCCTTTCAAAAGATTTCATTTTGGTAGTTTCGGTGAGGAATGTTTCATATTCCTCAATTATAGACTGTCCCTGTAACAATCCTCAGGCTGTTTCTTTTACACAGGATTTCTACACAGCAAAAAGTTTCAACTCTCCACTGTTCTTTTTGATAATTATCATAATTTTCTCTCTTATATCTGGTGTATCTTTCCCAGCCAATGAAGGGTGCAACTTTGGCATGAACAGATTTTTAAAATGTGGAACGCTACACAGACAGACAAAGAAATGTGTCCAGTGAAACAATCCTCGTAAACTCTTGACTTCTTGAAAAGGAAGTTAAAACCACTAGAAATTCAGTCTGTTAAAGTTTGCCCCAAACATATTTATTGACATAAAAACTACAAAGACAGAAAAAAACAACTCTTCCTCTCTTCTGAAAAGCACTACAGATTTGGGTGAGGAATGTTTCGGATATAAAATTTCAAGTCTGTCCACGTAACGATCCTTTCACACTGCAGACAATCTGCTATCAAAACAACCCCATGGTACATTTTTCTAAACAAGAGTACAATAGATGAACCATGTTAGTTCAATCCAATCAATGAAGTGAATACAAATGCCATGACACAGTAAAAAAATACCAATGATGTCTATTATCTGTCCAAATCAAAAGGAAGGTTACACGGACAAACTGTTGTTCAAAATCTTGTAGCGTTCCCCACCCGTGAATTTGGAACCAGAAAAACAATGTCATATGAATGCCTATTTCCTCCCAAGTCCAGTTTTTACCACAATGACACATAAATGTAAGGGAAAAATGTGTATATTCATTGCCTTTATGGTGTATTTCTCCATTTTCTGTAATTCCAATAAAGGACCGCTACTTGGGACAAACATTGAACGTTTGTCCATTCAAAAGGAAAAACAGCGGATGACCGACAATGGTGGAGGTTCATCTATTAACATTGGGATAAGAAAACTACTGAAACATTAAATTGGAATTACAAGTCCAAACAAAACATAACTTAATCAATGTGTGCGAAAAATTTTCAAAACTTTCACATTTTTGGTGAGTATCGTTACCTTTCTTGAACATCAAGGGGATTGTTACTTGGTCAGAACTGGTGGACGAACGAGAGTCGGGAGCTCTCACGGGCGCATCCATCTTCTGAATGAAAAATCAAGCGGTGGAAACCAAAGAGTTCTCTTCCCAGATGAGATCAAAAAGTCATGCGCGCAAATTGACCGAAACAAAGTGACTCGGCCGACTGCGGTGAGGATCGTTAAAAACGGACGATCATCAACCTATGGTTTCAAAATGCTGTAAAAATACACGCTTTGGGTCGTTCTTGCCTGGTTCTGTCCGTACTGAGCAGCTCAACACTAATAACACATCAGCTAATTGACGTAAAAGGCAGACTTGATCTGATCATTAGTGAGATTTAAGACTTTGAATTTTCTACCTGAAATGGACGAACACATGTAATGATCCTCACCATAATTTAGCGACCTACTATGGCCTTATAAGGAAAGGTGGGGACTTTCTGCAAGAACTGCCTTGGTGTTTAACTTACTGTTGCTGAAGGAATACATTTATTATGAATACAAACATTACTTTGGGACTGTGGCTGAGGCTTAAATAGATGCACCTCTTCCATGTTACTTTTACACTTGAATAAAAACTCACTATTTTTATTAGTAATATGTCAAAATTATGCAAAATGTTTTCTGAGCACATTTTTGAGCCTACCAAAGCTTCTCCATCATCATTTCTTTGCAATCATACCTTAGTGTCTGTAGTTGGTGACTTTTGGAGGGTGTTATTGAGGTGGAAAATAATGAGCAGTAAAAGTAAACAGTACTGGTGGAATGACCCATATAATATAATTTATAAAGGTTTCAACTCTTTCTTTCCTCTAGATTAGATCTAGAAATCTAGATATCTAGACGTTGAAAAGTAACAGACATGCATTTTTACATACCTTCCATGACAAAGATCACTTTAAGACGAAATCAAACGGAGCTGTTTTTAATAACAAGCAGTCTGAAACTGACTCATGATTCGATACTAAAAAAAGGCCTGCGTCAAACGCGAGTCAGCCATTTGTAAATAAACTGAAAGAGGGAGATTTCTACTTTACACAGTTAATGATTGGTTCCCAAAAAAGCCTTTGACCAATCAACGGACATTTGACATCAACGATCCGGGCCAACACCGTCTCCAGTCTCCAGAGACCGTAAACCGTCTCGATAGGCTATGAGACAAAAACAAGGCGTGGAAACCGTCGCGTCTCTGCGTAGAACCGGAAGTAGCTGGTGGTTGGCAGTAACGGCGTACCATTGTATACAAGTCAGCGTAGAAAAATAATTATGGAGACCACATCGGGGCTTTTGCTATCTATTAAAGGTTTTTACGCATTCTTTGACAGTACATGTATATAAAAACACAAGAAAATTTGTGCACAAATAGTTTGACCTCTCTTCAAGTTGTTACTTGAGTGAAGGACCGACCTTCGCAGTGAGTGCAACATGATGTCATGCCCAGCTCACAGGCTACCACAGAATTTAGAACAACTTTTTCTGACCTTTTTTCAAGATGTCATTGCGATACCGTTTCAGTCCGCTCACCCCACGCGTGTTCTCCCATGGTACATCAGTCCATACAACATGTCATATTATAGGCCTTATAATTCTGTCAGTCCAGAAACTTAACAAGTGAAGAAAAAAACGAAACAGAAAAACAATATTATCATCAAACGGTACAAGTACCAAAAAAACCCAAAACTACCACCGATCTCTCTATATATCATCATCACTGCCTTTCTCACCCTGCACAAGAGCATAGGCCACAGATAAACACTTTCCACCTTCTCTATCCTGGGCTAGCCTCTTGATCTCATTCCACGTTCTCTCTACATGAAATGAAAACTTTCAAAAGCTTCAACGGCACATAACACAGTTATAAAATATTGCACCTCCTTTTTGCCTGCCACAAGCGAGCTGCCACGGCCTATTTGCCGTTTGCCACCAGTTTGGGTTTCCCCCGTGCACTGACGCCAGCAATGACTCCAAATCTTTGATATGAAGAGTATGTAAAAGTAGGACTACGATATCTAAAGGATCAATTCCAAACACACAACAATTTAGAGCAAATCGAAACTAAGCTAAAGCGAGGAAAGACGAAAAGAAGACTGTCGAGTGTGTTGGAAATTGCGGAGTCTGAGTGAGTCACCCTGGTCTAGAACTATCGAGCCACTTGTAGGTCTTTGTCTGGAACCCCTGATTCATAATACGATTCTATTCTATAGATCTGGATTAGTAGAGAGGTCGAGTGCCAAGACTTACTTTCACTTTTCTTCTTGCAGTTGACTTTCGCACAGACACTTTACTACAACGAAGTACGGCTAGACAAGTACGGCTAGACTGCCAATCTAGCCGATCTAGGTTTGGCCCAATCGACTCAAGCCTGTTAAGTACACAGGTCTCATTAGATCTAGATCTAGAATCTAGTAAGTATTCAGGTCAGGGTTGGGTTGATTTAAATCAGTTGATTTTTTTGATTTAAATCAACTTGATTTTTTGATAAAAATCAGTGATTTAAATCACTTTTAAAAAAATTATTTTTATTCAGTTTTTACATATTTCAACATTCAGAATTCCCTTCCTTGGTTTCATAAAACAGATATAAGGTTAAGTAGACTAATATTTATTATAATTCATGTTTAAAAGTCTGCTTTCCCACCATTCACTGTAAAATAATACAGTATTCAATTTACTTTTTTTTTCCATAATTGAAATCAGAGCTGTGTTGATTTAAATCAGTTTTAAAAAAAATATTTCAATCAACTTGATTTTTAAAATAAAAATCAGTGATTTAAATCACTTTTTAACAAATGTATACAGTTTTTACATATTTGAACATTCAGAATTCCTTTCCTTGGTTTTATTAAACATATAAGGTTTAGTAGACTAATATAATCATGCTTAAAAGTCTGCTTTCCCCCCTGTCACTGTAAAATAATACAGCATTCAATTTACTTTTTTTTCATTATTGAAATTAACATTTTCTTTTTCTTTTTAGACAAACACAAGCGCGTGCACACACACACACTGTAATAAAATGCAAGTTTATCTATGCATAATTACCCCCCCCCCTACCCCTTCCTTTTAGACTGACATTTTCTTCATTTTTTGTCTGTAGCCATAATTCACTGATATATATATATATATATATATATATATATACTATTATATAGCAGATTAAGGCTTTCTTTTGAGGTTGCTTAATTTAAGCATTAGTTAAATTGAGACAATGCATTTTGCACTAAAAGAACATACTTTTAGCAACCAAAAATCCCAAACTGTGTCGACATTTTGAAAAAAATAAAAAAAATTTAAAAAATCTGATTTAAATTTAAAAAATCATGATTTAAATAAAAAAAATCGATTTTTTTTATTAAAAAAAAAAAAATCAAAAAAATCACCAACCCTGATTCAGGTTCAAATACATGCAAGTCAGTAAGGCACCTTTTGGTTTTGTCTGAAATACAAATACTTTAGGCATTGCAAACTAAAAATTTCATTTACAATTCAGTCATCAATATTAAGTACGGCTAGCCTGACAGTTTTTTTAAGTACGGCTAGCCTGGATGTCTACCCGTACTTAAGTACGGCTAGACTGCCAGTCTAGCCGTACTTATCTTAGGCCAGGCTATTAACATTAGAAAACAGGAGGTTTAAAATACAGGCACTGTCATTAAGGCACCTGGTTTCGTCTCAAATACAAATACTTTAGGTACTGCACACTAAAAATGTCTATTTACAATTCAGTAGGCCTTTTTTTTGTAAATGGTCAGTCTAGCCATCATATTAAGAATAAGTACGGCTAGACTGTGAGTCTAGCCGTACTTAAGTACGGCTAGACTGCCAGTCTAGCCGTCATTAAGAAACGGCTAGCCTCTTCCTTACTACAATTTTAAATTCATTAGAATCTCTTGTTTTCCATTGTGAAAAGCCTTGCTTTCTTTTCAAGTTTTGTAAGTTAACGTCATACGAGTCTTGCTGTTGCTCTGTGCGACGAGTTTCAAAGAGCATTAAATAAAGCATAAAATAACACAATTTGTGATACAATCCACAATGGATGCTTAAAATCTGGTTTAAAAAGACTTTCCACTTTTCTGATCATCATGAGAATCTTAGATCTAGATCTAGATCTACTCGATCATTATCAGTTGGCCTATCATCATGTAGATCTATGTCCAAATAATTTTCCTATTTCCCTGGGGGAGGGGGGGTTTTGGTCTGCGTGTAGATTCTGTGTGTGTGTGTGTAGTTTTTAAAAATACAGGTTGGAGGGAGGGGGGATGAGGCTAGGTGCGATTTCCCTGGAAACACCTTATAGGCCCTATTTGGCATCAAATAGGGATACGAGACAAAAAAAAGTTTGTAACAACATCTTCTGGTCTGTCGATCTCCCCAGAAGTCATGAGTTTTCTCCAGAAGCCATCGCGGAAGATATTCGTGAACTTCCTGTCTGGGGGCGCCGGTGCACCGTGGGAGGACGGGCAGAGCTCCGACCAGCATCGAGACCGAGACCTACGGTGCTTTCCTCCCGAGGACTACGTCAAAGTGAACTCTTCTGTGTGGATGCAAGGCACCGTCGCTCAGGTCGGTGGCTGTGGTGGGGGTTTGGGTTTCGTTTTTGTTTGTTTTTGTTTGTTTTTTGGATAGTGCTTTGCGACGCTCGCAACTGCGTTATAAACATGTTGAATCAATGAAGACTCCATTGGAATCATTTTTGGCTTCAGTTGTAGTTTGTTCCAAATACTATAATGGAGATTAAAGATTTTCAACTTTATCTCATGAAAAACTACTAAAGGGGGACCCAAAAACTTGTTACTGGTATTTTTGCAATATTTGAACAAGACATTTATGTCCACTTTCATTGAGCTTCAGATAATTATATCAGAATAAAGATTTTTGTGCAGAGTTTAGAAAATCACTCCACTTAGAATGCTGACTTGTGCTACTGTTGGTCAAATGCATTTGTCTGTTACTGTGATTCATAACCATACTAAAATAAATATTTACTTATAACAAGAGCAACATGGTACCACGACAGCAAAGAGGGAAAAGATCAGCTGCAGTTTCCTGCAACGAATCATAAAAGGTGAACTTGGATCTTTCAGTACACGAGTCAGAATTTGTTCTCGTCTTAAAATCTTAAATAGCTTTACCAAAGTTTTGTTTTTTTCATCTTTTCCTCACTTTTTCAACCACTTTTCCTCCCTCTCTCCCCGCCCCGTCAGGTAAAGGAAGCGGAGGACAACGCTGTGATCCTCAATGACGGGACAGGCTCTGTGCTTCTACCAGCTTGTGACAAAGTGGCCTCAAAAATACCGTTCAAGAAAGGTGAATGTTGTTCTTTTATAATGAATTCACTTTGTACGAATATTGTGTGTGTGTGTGTGTGTGTGTGTGTGTGTGTGTGTGTGTG